ACACACACACACACACACACACACACACACACACACACACACACATTCTCTAACAGTAATCTACACAGGCTTGCTGCTGTTTCTGCAGCTGCCAGTCCCTGAATCTGTCATATATAACCCAGTGTCTGGTAATCGTAGTTTCTTCTTCGGAGGAGTCTTCAGTGTTCCAGATCTTTCCTTTACCTTGTATTCTAAAGTGCTGTGAGGTACCCCATAGATTCCTTGTGCTTTGGAAACACTCATTTTTCCACTCATTACCATTGCAATAGCCTCTTCCATTATTTCATGATCATACTGTCGATAGCGGCCACGTTTTTTCCTGGGCTGCTTGTTATCTTTACGGTCCAGTCCATCTTCAGTGTTTTCAGAGGTTCCATCAATTGTTCCATTTTTAGAATTAAGACACAAAGGAGAGAGGTCCCCATGTAGAAAGTAAGAGTCAACACTTGAGTGAGTTACAGGCCCAGAACATTCTATTTTGTTCTGTTTAGGGAGTATATTTTTCAGTTTTTGGAGAGCTGAGCCTTCAAGGACTGAAGAGGTTTTGGAAACTTGATACATGACATCCAGCAGACCAGAACCATCAGCTTGTGATTTTGAAACTGAGTTTACTCGTAGCTGAGGAATTTTTAACTGTACAGTAGGATTTGAAGTTTCATATTGAAGGCTTTCGTTTTTTTCTTTAAACTGAGTAACCATTTTCTGTAGCGTTAACTGATGGAGGTAACTGGAAGCTGTTGGGAATTTTAATTCTGAGGTTTCAAGTAGGTTGAGTTTACTTTTTTCTGTGCGCTCTGCTTGAGCTCTTGCCCACAAGGCTACTTTTTGCAGCACAGCACAAGTTTCTTTACTTTCCTTATATGAGTAACTATCATTGAAATCTCGAGTTTTGTTTTTAAAAGATGCAGGCTTCCCTGCTGGTAAGGCTTCTAAGTGGAGAAGTAATGTTTTTTGAGGTATGCCATAAAGTATGCCTGCTTTATTTATGTCCAGTGCTCCAGACTGAATGTCTTTCAAAGCTTTTGAGAGCAAACCATCTGCAAACTCAGCACTTCTTTCCACATAGTCCTCTCTGTTTCTGTGTAGTCTCCTGGATGGATGGAATGAAACGATGGTAAACTGATGTATGAGAGACTCTCACACAGCTATGGAAGGGGAGGGTCCACTCCTTTATTATACTCCTTGCTTAGGTAACATCACTGCTTATGAGACTTTAGGTCTGTGAGATGTAGTAGTTACTCCTTATCAAAGCAAAGGCTACAGTCCGGGTAGGACAATGTGTCAATGATACGGTGGCCTCAATGGGCAGACCTTCCAAGAACATAAAGTCCTAACTGAGATTTGTAAAAATATTTTCATGATGTTGCTATTCCTCTGAAAGCTGCTTGCAGAGCAACACTTATAATTTTTATTTACAATTAGAGTTCCAGTATTAAAATACCCAAATCCTAAAGGAGTTTTTGTTAGTAGAAACGTGACGTTACCGCTAAACAAGTAATAAAAGAGTAAACCCATTTAAAGGAAATTTGTAGCAGCAAGAACACTTCCAAACACAGACATGTCAGTTCCACAGACTCATTTTCCTCTACATAAAAACTTAAGATCTGAAAAAAGATGTATATGAATAATTTCATTTTAGAATGTTACTATATTTCAAAAGTAATTTTGTAATCTTCTAATCTGTTATACCTGTGTCTCCAGCTCTATTACAGCCTTAGCTGAAATAAATTCATCTCAGAGTTAAATGGGACAAAAATATTTCTATGCAATTAATGAAAAGATGCAAAAGATAAAAAAATCCAAAAATCCAACAGAACAGCATTTCACTAGTAATTATTTATTAAATTAATTTAGTGACAGTTTTAAAGACATGAAAGGACTTTTCTGTGGTGATTACTAAATCAATGTTAAGTTGTCTGCCACCACACTAAAGCAAAAACTAAATATATATATGCTAGTTTTAGAATTAGTAACTATAGCAGTTTTAGAAATGCTTCATTTTTTTTAAACCTAAATACTAAAATTACATATTTCCCTGAAAATTGCCTCTTGAGTATTTCAAGTTCTCTTACTTGTCTTGCTTCTTAGTTTGTATCCCATGATTAAATTGATCATTTTAGTAACATGAATTGAAGTTTGGTGATTGTTCTGATAACTTTTCTTTAACAGAAAGAAAAAAGAAAGAGAAAGGACAAATGAAGGTATGAGAGAGACAAACTTATGAGTGACAAAAAATTCTGAAGGAAAACTATGTCAGTCCTACTCAGCACAGTCACTTTATTAATACTGAATTATATTTCCTAGATATTGCTTACCCAGCCACTGCATTTTCAGAAGCAGGATCACATATGGATGACTCTTCAGTTTTTATGCTGGTTTTCTTTGTAGAGAGATCTAACACTCCATCCCCTATAATTATTGCAAGAGAAAAAACTTTATATTTGCAATAGGATACCAGTTCTTATATTTCCCTATCTTAAGTACGGATGTTATAACTTCAACACTTATTTGATCTGCTTTTAGAAACAAGACATGACTGGGAAGGCATTATGTCAGGAAAAAGAGGAAAGCTGGTACTGCAACATGGTAAAGAAAAAAGGAACAAATACATGATTTGTTTAAAATCAACTTTTGGTAACCTTCCCACCATTCTTCAGTGTTAAGTCAATTTGACAGCTCATCCATGAGTACTTTCTCTCAAGTCTGGCACTTTGGGAAATCTGAAACAATGCAAGTTATAAAAGAAAGAATAAGATGTGTTATGCACGAGAACTGAATAACTACTTATGTAGTACTTTAAACTGCTGGAACATACAACAATTAAACCTATACCTATGTTATATCTAAGACTAGATGAAAATACTACATATAACAGTATAGAACTAGGATAGACAACTGCTATAAAACAAACTATTCAGTATAATTTCATTAAAATGTAGTTATCATAGATATAATATTGAATTTTCACAAATAAAAAACTTGAAATGATTCTGAAATTGTTACCAGGAGAAGGCCAGCACAGATGCCCATTAACTTAACATCCAACAACAAATATGTCAAGAATACACATATTTCTATATGCTAAAAAAAAAAAAAAGAGAAACCTCTGGAAAGGAATCAAGTAGGAAAAATAGCTGCTTAAACCTAAAAACATAACAAGGCCAAAGAAAACTGACTGACTTTTATAGTAACTAAATCAATTCACAAATACAATAAAGTGCCTGGCAAGGCATAAAGATGAATGAATAAAACACCTCTTTTGTAGAAATGAATAATCATTCAGCAAATGCTGTCACAAAACAATGTGACAGAATAGCAGCACAAACACACACCCCCCCCCAAAGCATGTAAAATGCCCATTTTCATGGCCCTTAGTATTAAGTAAGACAATCCAGTCTGCCCAATGCTACACCAGTGATGACAGTGCTGCTTAGGAAGACACTGCAGTGCAAGCTGAGAGGGGAGGCTGGGCTGAGGGGATCAAGTCCACATGTCCACATATTCACACACATCTTATTATGTTTTAAAAGCAAGGACATACTACCTAGCAAAGGCTAGGCAATTAACTTACTGACTAGCCCAGGTTGACCTCTAACTTGTGATCTCCTGCCTTAGTGTTCTGAGTGCTAGAATTATATGTGTGGGCACCATACCCAGTATAGGAGTCAGTTTTATGTGACTGTTATTAAATAGGATCTTGAACAAGGTGAGGGTTCTCAAGCAAGCAGATATGTTGGAGAAGGCTCTAAATGAAATGATTTGTATAAAAGGACTTCCTCCTACAATTGCACAGTTTTAAAGGAACACTAGGATGGAAGCTAGGATGGCTAGAGAAGAACAAGTAGGCTAAAATTGAGGTAAAAGAAAAGTAAGGAGGCTAAAACTGAGGTAAGGTCAGAAGTGTAGAAGGATATCATACAGGGCCATATAGCTATGGTTTCATGCTGAGTACTATTATGGAGACATGAAGTCACTAAAGGAGTCCAACAGACTGACAATATTTCATCTTTATAAAGCATCAATGCTGTGTGGACAGTAGACCACAAAGGCCTGGGGAATAGGGAAAAATATCTGGAAAGCTCTATGCTGTTTCTCATCCCTAAGGTTCCACACTTAAGTCCTTTTCTTTTGCTTAGAGGAGTCCTACTATTCTCCCCTCACAGTCATAGTGATTCATCTCAAATCTTATGAATCACTCAATCATTTTGGGCATAATTTGGGTTTGGAGGATTGTCATCATTCTAGGTTTCCATTATAGCATTGCTATATGATTATTTACCATTTAGCAGACCATCTTCTACTTGCTATGATTACACAACCAGCATATCTACTTTATTCAGTAAAATATCACTCTGCCTGGAAGAGTGCCTAGCCCAAATGCTCAGAACTACTTGCTAAACAAAGAATTGAAAACCTGGAAGAAACATAGTGTTGAGTTCTAAGTTAGAACACGTAGATCAGAAGAATAAAGGAGGGAGGTGAAGTTCCTGCTACATAAAAACTGTTACTCCAACTATCTTGACCAGTTTACCCATTCAGCCTAATTTTATGTTTAGTTTTCACCAAAATCTGTATTTCTCTTGCATCTAACTACTTGTACTTAGTTCCTCACAAATGCTACAGGATACCTTATCTTCAAACTGCAATAGAGCATTCCCTGTCTAGGACGTTCTTTCCAGCGCAGACTGTCACAAAGCTACTCACTCTCAAGGTACAGATCTCTTGAGAGCAAAGGCCCCTTTCCTCATGCCAGCACACCACTGTGCACTAACTGACTTATTTTATATGAACTGTTGTCTTGCTTACATATATGCCTGCGCACCACGTGTGTGCTTGATGCCCATGGAAGTCAGAAAGGTTATCAAATGCCTAAAACTGGAGTTAGAAATGGTTGTGAGTCAGCATGTGGGTATTGGAATGGAACCTGGGCCCACTGCAGTAGCAGCAAGTATTTTAACTGCTGAACCATCTCTCCAGTCCCCACGAAAGGATTCTTCAAGAGGACTAAATTAATATTCATTAAAATTAATGAATGAATAATACTGTTTATCTATGTTTTATTACCTCATTTCTGTTAATTATAAATGGAAGTTTTACTATTTCAAGAACATTTCAGAGCATTTTCAAGTTAGATTTTAATATATAAAACTTACAGAGTGGGCGGAGAAAATACATTTTTTTGCTAACTCTAATTGTTATCTAAGGTTTCAGAACAAATTAACAAATCTCTATAATTTTAAATTCTTCTAGACTTTTAGTGTATTTAATTAAATTTATGAATTCTACAAAATACAAAATCTCTCTTCATATACAGTGTGAAATAGGTAGTGACATTCTGGCTGGGACAATATAGCTTTCTTTTCCATTTCAATCACTATCACATAGAGAAATTAAAATTAATACCAATTTTTAAACTGGATGAATTCTCTCTAAGTCTTATTCTACCCTTTAATCATATCGAACTATTGATTCCTGACCTTTTCCTCTTTAGAAGTTTAAACGTGATAACACGTTAGGCCCTCACCATAAACGAGCTGACTATATTACATATGAAAAGGCTGGTTCTAAAAGGATTCTATAAGGGAACATATTATAGTCTATCTAGTGAAAATGGAAACATCCTCCAATATATTTGTCATACTAGACTGAAAAATATCAGTCTATGACCATTTACATCGCAAACACAAGCTTAGAATGTATTACATTCTAATATGCATTACAGATTTTTAGATAAAATTTAGAAAGCAACAGAAAATATCACATTTCCTTAGTGTTACCATTCATATTAAAGTATTTTGCTACTACTTCTTTTTCAAGCATAAAGTCTAAGTACTAATGACTAATTCAGTAGATAAGAACTATGGAGTCACTATTCTCTCACGATACACTTGAAGAAGTAACACTGCATTCTCTTTAATACACTGTAGCTAACTTTCTGCTCACCTGTTAGTAGGAATCCATGTCTAGTTTTCTGTCTTAGAGACAATGCTGATGTAAGCACCTAAGTGTCACCTTATGTTCAAGTTATAAGGACCTTCTCTAACTAACACCTACAAGTCAAAGTGCCAGACAATGATCCATGCAGTTTCAACATTAGTAGGTATTTGAAATATTCATAATTAAAACAGTACATTTAGCATGCAATTTATGTGATTTTTCTAAAGCACATAAAACTACTTTCCATATAAATGCATAAGTTGGTGGTATTAGCAAATTAGTCAAAGAGAAGTTAAAAGATTTAAAGAGAATGTAACTATATTGTTAGATATGCATTTGCTCTTTATGAGAAAACAAATTAGAAATGCATGAGTCTATGGTACATTAATTAATTTTAAATGATTAGCACATGGTTATTGTGCTGCATTTTTCTATATGTTTAATGCCCAGAGAATAAACACAACACTGTTTTTATTTACTAGTTGCAGGCTGCCATTTAATATCACAATTTACTTGCCTGTGACCAAATCCTACTGAAAATATTTAAAAGACAGGCCAATATAACTTTCCAATAAGGACATATAATTATTTGTACATATGGCACCAGAGATAAATTCAGAAGTAGATTGATATTTGAAAATTTAAGCCATGACAATGCTGAACAATTTCTTCAGCAACAACACTTTACTAGTCCTTCTGTCAAAACAATTGCTTACAAACAGTTCTTGTCTTTTTCTTGCAAATTATTGACAAGGAATTCTTTAATACAAAACTTTTTCCAAACTTTTAAGATTATAATTCTTTTTCATCTCTTTATAGATTTTTTTTTTGTTGTTGTTATATGGTACTCTACTAGCCTTGCCAATTTCTACACACCTTTCAGCATCATCCCCTACTTAGTTGTCTTTCCAAATCTCACAGCATCTTATGTATGTCAGTTCTATACTATGTCATCTTCATGTAATTTGCTTATTCTAAATCCATAAATCCAGTAGCATCTGAGGGGTACACAGAGTTTGAATTTAAACTTTATAGCTAATATTTAATCTTCATAGTCGATAAAGTAAAACTATTTAACAGATTTTATTACAGTATTCATTTCTTAAATAATGGCGTGAAAGTGGTAGTAATTCAAAAATTATTGTCTTCATTATTAACCCGTATTGGTTTAATCAATTACGGTTACGTATAGCACATATAACTAACACAGCACTATAACATCATCTGGGAAAGAGTGTTAGCAGTTTCCCCCCAAAAGCTAAAAGTGACCTTTTAATCAATTATCTCATTGGTTGGATTCTAAAAATCTTAAAGACTTTTTTCAAAAATGTCTAGATAATCATTAATGCCTACTTTATTTTAATATTAACTGAAAAAAAAAACATTTGTTAGCTCCTCACAATATTACTGGTTTCTAGTTGCTATACAATGCAAATCATGAGGTTCAGTTCATACTTGACTATGGACATGAA